ATCATAAACATTATCCTACAATGGGCCACCGAGGCTCTGAGGCTCCGTGTGAGAAAGGTTTGTTATTCTAAGGTGGCTTGGGAGTCTGAGCAGCATCAGACTGGGGAATTCAGGGTGACTGAGAAGGAGGCAGAAGTCAGGGCTGGCACTTCATTTAAAGTCTGTGCATTTGTAACCCTTACAGTGATGGCCAGGGACACTTCTTCTCTTAAAATGAGTCCATGTAGTTGGAAACCACATCCAAAAATCCACACACTCAGATCCCTGCTGAGAGGTAGCTGAAAGTCAGTTTTCTGAATGAATGGATGAATGAATGAGCATAGCTTCCCTCTGGTTGAGAGCACCAAGAATGCTCATGAAGGAGAACATAATGTTTTGAAGTCCTGGTGTGGGAACCTGGTGTGGAACCAAATAGGTGAATTTCAAGCCCCAGCTCTGGCCTTCACCAGCTGTGTGGCCTTAGACCTGACTCCCCTTGGCTTCCCATCTGAAAATGAGGGCACTATCACTGCTGGTTGTCTCCTGAGGGAGCAAAGGGAGGCCCTAGTGGGCAGCTGTAACTAAGAGGTAACTCTCCAGATGGGGCACACTGATGACCCTTTAAATGGCCTAGTCATAATTTCCTACCTGCAGCACACCAATACTAAACATTCCTGGCTATTTCACAGAGGTCTAGAAAGAAAATGTGTGTGACAGTGGATGTGGAGAAACATGGATCGTGCCAGTGGACATCTGGAGATCCTACCACAACCTTCAGTTTGGGGCCCTGCAGAGGGCTGAGCTGGGAATCAGAGCACTCAGACTGAACCCCCCTCTGCTTCCATTCACAGTGTCACCTTGGGCAAGCCTACCTGCTCTGGGACCTCTATCTCCTCTCTTCTTTCATATAATGAGGCCATAGGGGAGATCAGTGATTCTCAAGGTGGACACCAGGGTACCCAAGCATGGAGCTCCTGATACAGGGGGCACTGACCTGGCCTGTCTCCCTTACATCAATCAGCCAAGTTACCATTTTTATCTGCTCCACATTAGAGTTCCGAGTAAAGTTCCTTTGGAAAACAACAACAAAAAAGGATTCCATGGCTAAAAATGGTTTGAACTCCTCTGGAGATGACCTCTAGGGCCCCTCCGTGCTCTGAGCTCTAAGCCGGGAATGTTTGGGTCTATTTTCTACTAAGTTTTATTAAACCAACACATATTCAGCACTTACTACCTGCCAAGACTGTTCTTAACACCCTACAGATTGTAATATACTTAATCCTCTAGAACACCTCCCAGCAGTGTGAGGGCCACATAACTGCAGAAGTGACTCCATGAGTTAAGAAGGGTCCAGGGGAGCCATTTCCCCTCCAGCCAGGTCTTCTGACACCTAGGCCAATGACCTCACTGCAGGTCAGACAGTGCTTTGGCCAAGCTGATCCAAGAAGTAGCCAGGCAGGTGTGTGCAGAGGCCTGGTGTGGTCACAGGAAGTCTGTGTCCAAGGCCCTCAGAGGAAGAGACGGGATCAGTTTGACACGGTCACTTTCGTACAAGGCATGGGTGTGTGGGAGGAAGTGCCTGTTGCCATAGCAATGTCCACAGTAACAGGGCCACTGCCTCCTGTAATCCATCCCCAGCCACCATGCTGCCATCGACACCTTGTACCAGATGGCTGCAGATCAGATTTCAGTGGTGGTGGCCAGAGCCCAAAGGCCTGGAGAAGGCCCTGAGATGGGGTGGGGGTGGAGGTCTGACCTCATCTCCAGCCAGCTCATTAGGGAGAGAAGCCTGGGCTTCTGCATCCCATACATCCAGCTCTCCTGCCTAGCTGCTAACAAACTGGGAGGGGATGAGTGGAGTGGCTCTCACAAGCACAAGCTTGGCCCCGATGCCTATGTCAGCAATTTGGCCAGGGCATGCATACCTATTTTAGGAGCTTTTTAAATTCAGATTATGTGTCTTGGTTGGAAGTTCTGCCACATGGTAGTATCCTGCCTCAAAACACAGATAAAAATGCCGAGTTCTAGGGGTTATTCTTAAGGGATTAGCAAGCATCCTTGAACTATAAAGTGGCCACAGCAGATGTCCAGACACTGAAGGAAAGAAGTGACATCTTCTTTACCTGGCACAATCCTGAATGCACAGATTCAAGAATAAGCTGCAGTTACTGACTTCAAGAAGCTGATAGCCTACTGAGGGGCTGGAGCTAAACAGCAATGATAAGGTAATATTCACACCATGGTGGAAGAAAGTATAACACATCAATCACTTGTCACCATAATTATGCTGTGTAACAACAGTGGGGTTTACTGCTCACTCAGCTAGGGCCAGTTGTGGATAGGTTCTATTGATCTTCCTGGGCTCACACGTCTGGGAGTCACCACCTATTTATTAGCTAGGCTAGGTCTCATCCTACAGTAGGCTGACCTGTGCTGTTCTCAAGGCCATGGCAGACATATGTGAAGAAGCAGTAGCACACAAGCGTTTGCCCTATGTTGTAGCTTATGTCTAGATGTCCCTCCAAAGTTTCATGTAGTCACAGATGGGGCTTTTGCAGAGGTGGCTGGATCCAGCTACAATTAAGAGTATGTGATTACTAAATTAGTGTACTGCTGGGTTTGGCATAGTTCTGAGTATGGATAATGGGAAGGTCCACCCTGGGTGTGAGTACTAATGCTCCAAAGCCATGTAGCCTAGATACAATGTAAGGGACAGAAAGTAGACTGCTATGGCCACTTGCTGCTTGCTTTCTCACTACTTCACTGCTTTGCTGCCTTCCTGCCTTCTGCCTGCCATGAACTGTTTCTCCTCTGCAATGCCCCTCTGCCATGCTATCTTGCCTTGGAGCCAGCCTACTATGAATTGAAACCTCCACAAACTGTGAGCTAAATAAACCTTTTCTCCTTAACTTCTGGGCATTGGATATTTTGACTCAGCAGTGTGAAAAGTAACTGAGACACCCTACTTTGTAAAGATTCCTGCCATGCCGTTGCCTGAAGAGAGTCCAAAGTTAAAATGAGAGGGAGCTACAAAATCCCATGGCAAGGAGCATGAGTGCAAGGAGAGGTAAAGATTGGAGGCTATTAATCTTTCAGCTACTTCCCATGGAGACCCAGGGAGCCAAAGGGAGGAGCCTAACCCAGCCATCAGGTGGGCAGAGAACGTCCCTGGAGAAGAAGTCTGGGTGAACCCCAGGTAGCCAAGTGGAGTTTGCAAGTGGGAAATAGAGAATGGAAGGGCAGGATCTTCCCAGCAGACAGAAGGGGGCATATAGAGGGACCAAGGCAGGACATTGTTTTGTTTAAACAACGTGGAGTGGTTTAGTACTGGGAGATATCTTAGTCAGTTTCTCTTTGCTGGGACAAAATACTCAACACTCATAAATTAAAGGAGGTTTCTTTTGGCTCACTTTTACAGTCCCTGGTTGGCTGGCTCCAAGCAGAAATGGCAAGGTAGAAGGGGCTGGGTGAAGGAAAGCTGCTCACATCACAATGGTCAGGAAGAAGAGAAAAAAGGGAGGCTCCAGGAGGGCAATATACCTGTCCAGGTCATGCCCCTAGTGAACTGCCTCTTTCCACCAGACTCCACCTCTTAATAACACATTTAGCAAATCAGTATAGTGCCCTGTGCTCCAATCACCTTTAAACAATGAGGCTTTGGGTGCCATTTTACTTCTAAACCATAACAAGAGGCATGAAGGCCATGTAAGACATGTGGTTATTGACCACGGTGGGGTCCAGGTGCCTACCTTGGAGCTCTACTGAAAGCTAGTCCTATGACCTGAGGACAGGAGAGATGCTGAACATTTTGGACAAAAAAGAAAAAGAAGGAAGCTATCTGGTTTGTCCTTTCAAAAGATGACTGTAACAGAAGAGAATGGATGCTGGGAGGGGCTGTTGTAACGGATCCAGTGGGAGATGCTTGGGCCTGAAAAGGCATGAGCCGAGAGCTTGGGGCCTTTTCATCCATGGCACTGTGCAAACAGAATGAGCAGAGCCTGAGCACTGAGGGAACCAGCTGCAGCTGGGACGTAGATGGAACAGAAGGCCTAAGATCACCTTCTATCATTCTGCATGAGAATCACAAGTTTTTCCGCACACTGGTGGAAATAACCATTAATGATCTGGTTTCCCCTTCCCCTTGACCAACGGCTTTTGGGATACTTATTCCCATGAATCTGGCTCCAGCTCCAGCCTCGTGGATTGAACATGCCTTCCTCTTCCTGGGCCTCAGTTTCCTCATCTAAAATGAGAATACAGGACTAGGCAATCTTCCAGGGCCTTTGTACCCTAGGCACCATGAGAGTCATGACCCTCAAATATCACAGCCAGTTGGGCTGCTCAGGAAATGCCCAGGCAGCCTATGGAAAACAGAGATTCTGATTTTAGAGGGTGGAGCTTGAGCGCCTGACTTTTGCATAGCACTGCAGGTGACCCTGACCCCTGACAGCTCTAACTGTGGACAGCTGCATCCCCAGGGCCAGGCACAGTGGCCGTAAGACAGAAGAGTTGAGGACACACATGCCTGATGAATGAGAGTGTGGATTAGGCTCTCAGGACCCAGCCCCTCAGGCCTTCCTTGGGTGAAGAGGGCCCTTAGGGTGAGCCTTGGTGCCTAACTGGACTTCTGTTTATGTTTATTCCTGTCTTTGTTTTGCCTTGTTGACATGTGCTTTTAATGAATGACCCTGCTTATCCCAGAATCCTTCTAAGCACACAAAACAAAGGAACCAAGAGAAAAACTCACCCAAAACTTCAGACCCAGTCACAGCAGGGTCCTTGCTTTGCCCGTCATTAGTTAGGCTCTTGAGACCAGGAGCAGGAGGGGGCCTGTGTGCACAAGGGCTGGAGATCAGAGCAAGAGCCAGTGCCCAGAGTGGAGGGTAGAGGAGAAAGTGTGGATGTGTTTGCTGAGCCAACTCATGGTGGGTCCTGCATCCAAGTCTAGAGGGAGGAGGGCCAGTCCGGGAGGACAGCCAGCCCTGAGCACCACCCTGACTGCCCTCTTTTCCCTTGGACAGGTGCTGTTTGCCCTGAACCAGACCCTGCTGCAGCACGAGAGTGTGCGGGCCGGGAGCCTGCAGGCGCCCTACACCACGGAGGACCTCATCAAGCACTACAACTGTGGAGACCTCAATGCTGTCATCTTCAACCATGACACATCCCAGGTGAGGCTCCTCCACTCCACAGCCCGATAGCCTCTGGGCCACCAGCTACAAAGACTCCAAGCCGGGCCCACAGGAACCTACCTATCCTCTCCAGCCATGAGAAGCAGGGGCTACTGTTACCCCCATTTACAGATGGGGAAACTGAGGCTCAGAGAAGGGAAGAGATTGCTCAAGGCCACACAGTTTATTAGCTATTGGATTACCAAGCAATCAATTGCAGCAGCTTGAGCCAGTCTGTGTGACTCCAGGATCTGAGACGCTGGATGCTTAGCCTGTGAAGCCAGGGAGCCCTCTAAAAGGTTCAGTTCAACATCTGGGGAAACTAAGGCCTAGGGAAATGAAAGCCCTTAGTTATTCTGAGGTTGGACTTGAGTCCAGCCCAGGGCTTTCTGCCCAGATCTAAGTCCTAGAGGAAACATTACCACTAAACCAGTAGGGGTCCAGGGTAAATTCCAAAACCCTTCACCTAGCATTGAAGGCCCTCTGGGACCTACCTTGGCCGGCCTTGTCCCAGCCCAGGCCTCCCGCCTTGCTTGTTTTGGGAACCTGTGGAGGATCAGCTCTTCTCCTGATGTAGCTGCTCCTTTCTTGCCTCTGTGCCTCTCCATAGGCTCCTCCCTCCCCTGGGGTCCTCCACTTGGCCAAGGTCAAATGATACCTGCTCTGAGACACCTTCCTGGTCCCTGGATGGAGTTAGTATCCCCAGGCACCTGTGGTCCCAGCTTCCTGAGAAGTGGTGCTTCACTAGCCATTCATTCAAGAAGCATTTGAATTAGGCTGAAGAGGCCACTCCCCTCCTCAGGACAATTACCTGAGCTCCTCATTTCCCTCAGGGTAAAAGCTAGAGATTCTGCAATGGCCCGTGTGCCTGGAGCTCTGTCCCTGCTCCCTGTGCCTGCTCTTCCAGGTTTCTCTTCCCACACACCCCGCAGCGGCACAGGACTCCTCCCTGTTCCTGGAACCCGCCTCACTTGCTTCCACTTTCACACTGACAGCTCCCTCTGTACCCAGTGCCCTTCCCAGGGCCACTCCCGCTCCCCAGCCCCCAGTTTACTCAAAAAACCTCAGTTCAGTGAGGCTGCCCTGTCCACCCTGTTCGAACTGCACCCTGACCCCCAGTCTCACCCTCTCATTTCCTTCTTGTCCTCTACTTTTGCCCTGACCTGGAAGATCCACCCACAGGACATATCCCGACATGTCCACTAGAGACTACTTATGGGACTCCTTCCCACTGGAATGAGAGCTCCATAAGGGTAGGATTCGAGTCTGTTCATTGATATTCATTGATATCTGCCAGCTGGCTGGTCACAGGCCCAGGCTAGGACTGGGTTAATACTGGCTGGATGAATGGGTGAAATCAGCTGTCAATCCCAGGCCCAGTGCTATGCAAAGGAATGTGGTGGGGAACCAGACAGAATGGCCCTGGTGGGGCTCACCCTGTCCCGGGGAGCCAGAGGAGTCCAGAAGTCCTGGCAGCTCACTTTAAGTCTTGATCGAGGGAGCAGCAGTGCTACTAGGGCCTGTGGTAGGGGCAGCTAATTCAGACGAGGTTGGACCAAAAGGAAAGATTTCTGCCAGGTGAGAGGCCATAGAAGACCTGAAGTTGACCATTGACAGGAGAAGGGACGTCCCAGCAGAGAAAGCCGTGTGCAAGCAAGCCAGAGACAGGTAGCAGGGGAGGGCCGAGAGCTCATTCAGGCTGCAGGCATGGAGGGCCAGGACCAGGATGTTCTGTCTGTGCCTGCCACCCTTACCTCTAGGACATGCTCTCCTGAGCACAAGGGTGTGCTGCTCATTTCTGGTTCCCCACTGCCAAGGGCCCCTGAGGACCTGGCACAGAGACTGTCAGTGAGCCGTCATGGTCTGAGCCACTATAGGTTCCATGTGCTTGGAGCAGCTTAGGGAGTGAAAGAGGAAGGAGCTGGAGGCCTAGCTGCAGGAGCTCAGGATTCCCAGGGCTCTGACTCCATAGTGAGGAAGTGAGGGAGGACAGAAGAACCCTCCTGGCACCACAAAGGTTGCGGGATTCTCACTAGTAACTCATGTTGTGGGAAGTCTGCCCTGCGTCATCCACTGGGGGAGAGGCCAGGGGAGCTCTGTGGCAGAGCGGCATGACCCCAGCTCAGAATGAGCTGGCTGTGATGGGGCCAGCCACAGGGAGGCCCTGTCCAGGCTGCAGTTGACCCTAAGCAAAGAAAGGGAGGCATAGGGTGGGGGTGGCAAGCTCAGATGTTCTTTCAGCTGGACTGAAGCACAGATTTGTCCCTGGCAGTCAGGAACTCCATCAGTTACTGTACCTAAAGTGGGAGAGAAGATGCATGGCTCGGCCCACCCAGGTTAGACTAGCAACCCAGCTCCACACAGGAAGCACAGGCAGGACTGGGCCCCTAGCTAAGGGGAAGCCCTGATCCCAGATGTAGGAAAGAGGAAAGCTCAGAGTCAGGGTATCAGGGCTGAAACCAGGGTCTATGTGGGTCCAGCTGTAGTAGTGCTGCATCTGCAGCTGGAGGCCTTGAAGTCTGTGAAGAGCTGAGTATATGAAGGATACAGGGCTAGTCACACTGCTTGCAATCAGGAGGGCTTTGGAGAATGGAAGCTACCTGCTGAGGATGCAGGCATGGGGTGCCAAGCCAACAAACTAGAGCACTTCTGAAAATGTGATTTGCAGGTAGAAACAGGCTGCGCAGGGGTGAAAAAGTCTGGGGAGGATACAGGTCCTGGAGAGTCAAGCCAGGGAGTGATGTAGTCAGAGAAATGCCTCAGGCTCTACCATAAAGGATGATGAAGTGGCTTTTGGAGGCCATGGTAAGACAGATGCAGGGCCCAGGTTGATAACACTGGTGACACCTCACACTTGGCCTGCCTGTCTTCCTGCCCCACTCTTCTTACCTTCAGAAGTGCCTGTGCCCTGGCCTCACAGCCCCAGGTCATGGTACTGCCCAGCACAGGCAGCCCATTCAGAAGCCCTCTTGGGAAGACTGGCTTGGGCCCCCAGACAACCTGAGGTATACAGCAGCCACAGATATGTCTTGTCCAAATTCAGATACTTCTGATAGTGAAATGTAGTTCGGGATCGAAGTAATTGGCAGATGTGGAGCCATCTCCATCTATGAAGCTGGACTGTCTTGGATAAGCCAAGACGTGTGGCATACTATCAACTTTCCTGCCCCTGGGTGTCCCCGTTCCTCATTGCACCCCACAGTGTTCTTGTAGGCATCTCTGACTCTCACTCTGGGCTGTGAGCCTCATCGAGGGCAACAGACCCAGTCTGAGGATGCCCTTTGGGCCTTGGCATGACACAGGGCTAGATCCATGGACGTTCTTAGTAGGTCTCAGCTGAATGAATGGATGTGTAAAGGAAAGGGTTTGTTGAGATTAGTGTCATGAGCAGACTTGAGCACTTGATCATCAGTCCTGGCTGAGCCCTGCCCCTTGTCTCACTCCATCCCAGACCTCACTCTCTAGGACCCTGGGGACCTTACATGTCCTCTTTTAAAATGTTATCATGCATCCTGCACTTAAACTTGTCAAGGGTAATTTAAGCCCCCTGCCAAGCCTAATGATATCATTAATTTGCATCCATCCCAACCCTGGCCCAAACCCAGGCCCCATCCTTGGCACAGAGCCACGACCTATCAACATCAAACCTGCAGAGGGACAAACTGAGGAACCTGAGTGTCTAGCCCAACTCTTTCATGCCTTTGAAATTTAACATTTTGGTTCTTGTCCTTTTCAATTTTTCAGTTCCCTAAGGAATTAGTGGAGATACATCTTTGTGCCAGAGCACATTTTGGTCATAAAGTTCAGGAAGGAGGATTGAGTGTGTCTACAGATCTTAGGGACCCTTGGGAGAGGGCAAGGGGAAGCAAAAAGCTGCCTGCCTGGCTCTCTGATGGTTCTGATGATCATCTACTTGTTATCTTCATCTCCACCCCTTGCCCAAGTCCACCCTTCACTAGCAGCCTGTGACATTTCAGGGGAAGGTGATGAAGCCAGCTCCATCCATTAGGCCAGTGGTGGTGAACCTATGGCAGGTTATTCTTTTTCTTGTAGACAAAAGATGTTAATGTATGAGATGTTTTTTCTAAACTATAACCTCAAAATTCAGATTTAATTGCAGTATTGGCACTTTGCAATAAGTAAGTGGGTTTTGTGGTTTGCAGTTTGGGCACTCTTCTCTAAAATGTTAGTCATCATTGCCCTAGGCTAAGTGTGTAATTGCTGACAATTTATTCAAGACTTCTTTTGTGATATGCACTGTGCTAAGCAGTTTCCAAAGCTCATTTAGACCCAGCTATTCTCCTTTTAGATATCTTCCCAAAAGAGTAAAAATCACATTGCCTTAGTTACTTTTACTATTGCTGGAACAAAATACCCAAGACCCACAAGTTAAAGGAAAAAAGGTTTATTTTAGCTCACAGTTTGTAGAGGTTTCAGTCCAGTTGAGTGGCTCCAAGGCAGGGTGGCATGGCAGTGGGGCATAGCAGAGAAGAAATAGTGTATGGCAGGGCAGGTAGAAAGAAGCAGTGAGCCTTCTTTTTCCTTTTTATTCTATCTAGGCTACAAGCTTATTTACTGGTGCCACCCACACCCAGGGTGGGTCTCCCTATTATCCATACCCAGAACTATGCTAAAACAATCAGCAGACTAAATTACCTATTGCATACTCTTATTCCTTATTCACATATCCTAGATCTAGCCCTGACTATGAGCACAAGAGGCTTTGGGGAGATATCTAGATAAAAGTCATAACAATCATATTATAGGGATACATGTATACCCATGTTTATAGAAGTACAATATGTAATATTTTACAAAGAGCATATATGTCCATCAGTAGATGAATGGATAAGGAAAATATGCTCTTTATATACACTGGAGTATTATACTTCCATAAGAAAAATAAACTTGGCAGAGGTGGTGAACTTTCCGGGCTGCAGTACCACTGCCCGAGTGCTGAGGTGAGCTGAGCAGGCACCAGTAGCACACCACCACCCCCC